TTTGCGAGATTATTATTATTATTTTGTCCTCTCGGGGTCATTTTCATATGATCTAATAAATGATACAAAAAGAAAATGACATTTAAATTTGTAAATTTTGTATACATAAGAACTAGTTTTTTTAAATATTTTATATTCTCTATGTTTGTACTGGTTATCTAGGCAACAATGTGAATATCTCGCGGTGTTGCTTACGTGGTCCTTCACAGTGTGATTATTACAATCAATACATAATTTGCGATACGGTGTTCTCTTCTCATTTATTGTTTGCTTTGTGTTTGAGACAAGTAAAATGAGTTCTGAGAGGAGTATACAGTGTGTTGATTTGGTGCAGCAATGCATAATAGCTAATATATGAGTACCACATCGAAAAGTTTTGCAAACTCCCTTTTGTTTTGAAGCAGTCAAGGTCTTTCTTTTGAACATGAAAGAGTCCTACTCTCTTAATCTTTTGTACTTAGCCTCAGAAATTAGCGAGTACGGACTGTTAAGATAGGGATATGCAGCTTGGAGATCGTTTAGAAGAAGCAACATGTCATCAAACTAGCATATTAGAAAATCTCTGACTGGTTCTTGTCAAATTATGATTGGCTAATCACTATGTAATTAATCTAAAAATTAGTGAATGTTGTCACTTTAAGCAAGGTATCTATTCTGTTTATTGGAGGCAATCTTCAACTGTACTGCTGCATAGAAATTGGGATATGGAGCCTCTTGAACTTCAATGACAGTAATTGGCATCGCTGGATTTTTACTTAAATGTTTGCAGAAATGAAGTGCTAGGAGTATTGCACCTGTATTACTCACCTTTTCTGCATGTTTTTAGAACCGCAGGAAAATAGAATGAGTTATTTCAGAACTGACACTTGCATGAAAAAGTATCTAGAGAAATACAGATCTTTTGAACAGCCTTATTGTTGTGTTTGAACTGCTACACGAGGTTATGATTGAGAAATATCCACTGCTTTGGTCACTATAATTTATACCAATATTTGAATAAATGAAATGTTTTTGGTCATGTATTTCTTTTTGATTGAGTTTGTTGTTTATTTCATAATGATAGAGGTTTGTTTACACATGTGATTATTAAGAGATATGGAGAGTAAACATAGAATAATCCCCCCTGATTTACTATGCTTCTTAGAAAAGTAAGTAAGTTTTTGGATCCCTTCCCATTCTACATATTTCCAAATTGTTTCTTGTGAACTTGAACTCAAATACACGGAATAGAATACAAACATAGCCAAAAAATTTCTGATTTATTAGGGAAAATGTTCTTGGTATATAGGAGTACTGGTTGTAGTGAGCATAAGATATGTGTTATTATGTTTAAAGCGAGGAACATGGTGAGAGTTTTGTAAAATTGATTGCCTGTGAGATTACGTCATGATATATTTTCCAGGGTCACTTCTAACATATTGAGAGGATTTTTCTTCTCTATCCTTAAAAGAGGGAGTTATCCATCAGGAAACAAAGGAAGAAGCGGCTGTAGAAAATAGAAGCATAGAAAAATAATGAACTGTGGCTTTAGTGAAGGAAAAGTTCACCATTCTTCAATTAAATATAGTCATCTCCACCCCCTAATTCTGTATCTCGACCACCTGCTTTGTTGTAGATATGAAAGAAATCAATCACAGTTTCAATGCTTATTTCCTCTCTCATTGAAACCTGACATTGTCCAATGTCAAGAAGTTTTTCCGTCTGTATGATACTAAACTTCCAAAGACGGTTTCGATGTTTGGGAAAAATATTAGCAACTACATCTTATAAGGACGTACCTTAGCAAGTACAGTTTAGCTGAAGAAACTAGATGATTGACGGAGATGGGAAGAATCCTTATATGTAGCCAGGATGATTAATTTGTAATAGATGTACGTATCTAATCATCCTTGTATGTAGCCTTTTGATCACATCTGAAGAGTTGGCAATAAATTTCATGCTTCATAAACAAAGAGCTGAAGATGTTTAATTGGTGATAAAGAGAATGACACGTCCTTAATTGTGATATTCATAACTAGTTCCATGGAAACTATTTTAATTGGAATCTCACTATTATTAGTCAACCAAGCAATTAGTTAATAATAAACACGGAGGTGAGAAGGTACAAGACTACGATGCAGTCAGTGTGATCATGCCCGATATATTTGAGAAGATAACAGCTTTTCAAATATCAAGTGCTTTTAGTAGTTAGCATTGTTTCAGAAGTGGCAATTAGTTATAAAAATGGTTGAGCGCAACAAATGGAAACACAGATGCAATCAAAGGATTTGTTGCTTAATTATTAGGCATGTAAACGGGAGTGACGGACAATTGACCAGTTGCAAGTTTATTATGTAGTTAACTTTTACTTCTTTCCAATTTAAGGTTACATGACATATATATGAAACAAATCAAGAAAAAACATTAATGGTAGCACAGCTGCTTGCAGCAGAATAAAAAGTAGTGAGATAACATTTTAACTAAAACGGCAATATAACAACAATAACTAGGGAACGCAACAATGCTTAGCCTATAAATTTATCAATATTTCGACATCTTTCTATCACAAAGTTCATTGATGTATATAATAAAAAAAAAACAGTTGATAGTTTCAATGTCCTGGTCCTCTTACCATAGAAGTCAGACGCAAATAAGGGACCGAGTCCAATTGACGTCGTTCTTCCTCTTGTCTGTTTCTCAACTTTCAACCAGTGATTTTTGTTGAGTTTAGGAGTGGTGGACACTAAAAAATATATTATTATTATTTTTTTAGTGGTACAAACTCAATACTCTCTAATACAAGCACTCTCTCTATTACAAACTACTACACCCTTTTACAACTACTCACTATTTTTTTTTGTCTCTTTGTTTTCCATTGCTACTTGGATGCCGTACAAATTAAACTTAGAGGGGTGTGCATAGGCTTTCTTATGGGGGTAGGTATATACTATTAGGGGGTTGTTGCTTACTATTGCATTGGTGGTTGAGTTAGG